CGAGTAGGGAGAGAGTTTGGGAATCTGCATGTTAGCGAGCTCCTGGGTGATTCTACATAAGCAGCAGCTTGGGAACCACCAGGATGGAACATGGGGGGGAGGGGGTGCCTAGGAGCTTGTTAGTGAATGGGCCCTAGTCCCTTGGTGATATTAAGCTGTGCTGGGACTTAAACACAGGAATCATGTGTTCAAAAGCAATGCCCCATGTCTTCTAACTTGCCCTTTGGGAGAAGCACGAGTGACACACAGAGTATGAGGATCACCAACATCCCTTTGCCCCATGTTAGATGTGTGGCTCTGGGCAAGTTACTTAACTTCTCTGAGCCTCAATTTTCTTACCTGTGAAGTAGAGCCAATTATACCTCCTTTCAGGGTTGGGTGAGGATTAATAGAGAATGTCAGACAAGGGCTGGGCTCAGTTCCAGGCATGGATTAAGTCTCCAAAGATGATGACTATTCTTACAGAAGAGGATCCTGGAGCCCACAGAGGAGCAAAGACTGGCCCATGGTCACATAGCCATATAAAGGCAAAGGCAGGACTCAAACCCAGGCCCTGCTCTTCACTGGCCTCACTCTAGTCCTGGCCTGCCTGTGTCCCCAGGCCACAGGGCCATGCAGGGAGCAGCTCTTTCCCAGCAGTAGTTCTCTTTGGGGCTTGGCTGAGCACACACTTATTTCCTAATGTGGCTGAGGGGAAATTACGGCTGGGTGTCAGAGGCCCTCAGGCATTTGGCAACTGCGGTGTTGCTTTTCTTCCCATAATGTTCCCTGTGACTGGAAGAGGCAGAACTTCCAGGAGCTAACATTGTGACACTTTTGAAGCACTTCAATTTCCGAAGGAGAAGCAGAAGTGAGAGTGACACCTGCCCTTCCCACTGTCCCCTAGGAGAGCCACTTAACTCTTTTCCTTTCTCTCAGCCTGCAGCCCTCCCCAGAAACTGCCCTCTGGTCAGAGCCAATGCTTTGAGCTTTAGAACTGACCCTCCCGGCATCAGCCTGACCCAGGACCTGGCTCAAGCCTCACCTCCTCCTGGAAGCCTACCAGGATTGTCAGGCTTAGCTCATCCTTCTCAGTCTCTAAACACTTATTATCTGGAATTTATGCTCTGCCTATGACTCTTCTTTCATTTATTCACTACTCAGGATTGAAGTAATAATAATGCAGCAAGGATGATCTGCCCTCACCCTGCTCCTGCTGGAGCCTGGTATCCTCCAGGGGCTGAGTATTCAAAGGGGCCTTTTTTATAAGACTCAAGGCTGGGAAGGAAAGACATCTTTTTAGCAATAACAAGGTAACCAAAAAGACCAAACTCACTGCCGTGGAGTCAGACCCGACTCATAGAGACCCCTCCTTGGGTTTCTGAGGCAGTATCACTACAGAAGTAGATTGCCCAATCTTCCTTCCAAGGAATGGCTGGTGGATTTGAACTGCCAGCCTTCTGGTTAGCAGTCAAATGCCTTAGACACCATGCTACTAGAGGTCCTCATAACAAGGTAAAATGCCCCCAAAAGAAACTAAACCCACTGCCATTGAGTCAATTCTGACTCATAGTGAACCCTATTGAGTTTCCAAGGAGGTAAATATTTATGGAAGTAGATTGTCCCATCTTCCTTCTGTGGAGTGGCTTGTGGGTTTGAACCACCAACCTTCTGGTTAGCAGTCAAATGCCTTATGCATTGTGCCACCAGAGCTCCTTTAACAAGGTAAGGGAGAGTATTGAGAGGTTACCTTTATGGTTTTAAATGTTGGATTGTCTTTTAGATGCTACACATTGGGAAGAGACCTCCATGAAGGCCTGCTCTTCTCCCCTCCCCACTCAGGACCCACCTGGAGCCCCCTCTTATGCCCGAATTCCTTATCCATGGGCACAGAATGACTGACAATCCACTCCAGAGGCCAGACTCCTGAAGGAGGAAAGGGGAGAAGGGATTGAGAATCAAAGGGTTGAGGAGGAGTCTCCCTGATTACAGGCATAGCCTTATGGAAACACCTGAGCATCTGGGTTTAATGACAGACCTGTGCTTGCAGGTGGATTTGGGGACAAATGAGGAAACTCAGGCTCAGCCAGGTTAAGCTACAAGCTCAGAGTTCACAGGCTGGCCATCGTGGTGCCAAGATGGGAGGTTGGACACATCTGATTCCGGCTGAGCAGGAGCCAGTGGAGGTGGCTTGTTCAGAAACTTGTCAGCTGTTTTTAAGGTTCCGATTTTATGACAATGTAAGTCATCATTTTGTGGTTCTCATTTCAGGGCTCCTTCCCTGTCTGCCACCCTCACAGATGCACCATCTGGTTGGGCCTGGGGGACTCAGGGACATAGAGTAATTAGAGCTGGAGGTGTTCAAAAGTGTGCAAGATAATTTTTCAAGAAGTCTAATTTTATGACAAGTCATCATTCGATGCGTTTGGGCTGCTATTTAGAGCTCTCTTTCTTGTACAGATTCAAGCATCTGACTGGGGGCTTGGGTCATTTGAAGGAAGGTAGAGCTGGGGTGAAGAGTGAGGGTGACCACTCTCCTGGAACTACCCCAGGCAGGGAGAAGAAGGTCTTCTCCCCAGGTATGAGGCCCGAGTGACCTTGACAATGACTTAATCACTCTGCAACTCAATTTCCTCCTCTCCAAAACTGAGACTAATCATTCCTCCCTCACGGGTTGTTTTTGGGCTTGGAGATAATATATGTACAGCATCTGGCACATAGTAGATGCTCTCTCTACACACAGCTCCTGTTTTCATTCCTAAGCAAGCCAGAAGGACTCCAGTTATTGCAGATGGGGTAGAAGGAGACCTTTTTAGAAACAGACGTGGAGAAGAAGAAAAACTCAATCCGGGGATCTCACACTCTCCCGGCTCAGCAGGCTTCATTAGACTTCCATAAAATCAGGACCGGTGAGGCAGGGCGCCAGGGGTCTGATGAGGACCCAGCGGGAGAGAAGCCAGCAGCGCCCCCTCCGCAGACACGCCCCTCCTCTCATCACCAAGGAGACAGAGCTGGCTGCCCTGCGGGGTTTCGGGCTTCCTAGGGCCTGAGGCTGCAGTAAAGGGAGGCTCAGGGGCTGGGCAGACAAGGAAACGTCCATATGTACCCCTCCCCCCCCAAGGCCCTGAAGGTGAGATGCATGCGTCCTGCAGACCTGAGGGAGCCAGCGCGTTTGGATCCCAGCTGGGCTAGCAACTTGCAGCATGACTGGGAGCAGAGCACTACCCATCTCTGAGTTTCAGGTTCAGGTTCTACGTCTGTCAAAGGAAGGGATCAAATTGTGTAAAGACAAAAATGTGATGGAGAAATCTGTGAGTTGAAGTAGTGATGGAGTACCGTGTCTGCATAAGGATATTTACAGCCAGAGAAGTTTCACCATCTTATTGCAAAAAGATCATGCTACACAATTGACCAGTGTGATCCCATTTTTGTTTGTTCAAAACAATTAAAAAAAAAAAAAAATTTAACCTCTACCTATGTTTTAAAAGGGAGATGAGAAATAGTCTAACCTACAATTCTGTTTGTCTGTAATTTTTAATCTCTGTCATGTAATTTTTATTCTCTTCCTGGTGTGTTTTCAAATGTTCCCCGATGAACATGAATGACTTAAAAACCAGAGTGACATGAATAGCTTCCATTTATGTATTTATTTTGCAGGTAGCTCTCTGCTAAGTGCTTTACATGGTTTAAGCTCCTCACGGCAATCCAAGGAGGGTAGCTACTAATACTGCTCCTACTTTATAGAAGAAGAGGCTGAGGTTCAGAGAGGTCAAGAGGTTTACCAAAGTCAGGCTGCAACAGTGATAGAGCTGAGATTTGAAACCACAGCTAAGATGTTAGATTTCAAAATCTGATCCTTTAATTTTTACCACAACTGCTTTGGGCCAAGAATATGCTAAAAGATCCATTTTCTTAAACATTGACTATGGAAAATAGCAAAGAAATCCAGAACCTATTGTGGTCTAGTCAATTTTGACTCATAGTGACCCTAGAGGACAGAGTAGGACTGCTCAGTAGTGTTTCCAAGGCTGTAATCGTTCCAGAAGCAGACTGCCACATCTTTCTCCCGCAGAGCAGCTGGTAGGTTCAAACTGCCAACCTTCCACTTGGCAACTGAGTGATTAACCCCTGCGCCATGAGGGAACCTTTAAGAAATCAAAAGTAGTGTAGAAATAGGTAACGTCCAAGTGAAAACAAAGGCTATTTATTCAGAGCTTGCTATATATAGCTAAGGAGTCAGTCATTACAACTTGTGTGTGGCAGAGACTTAAAGGCAGGCAGGAGACTGGGAAAGCTTTAAAGGAAAAAGAAGGTGGGAGGTGTCAGGTGCACTTTGGTGGGAAACTCTTGATTGGCACAGAGAAGCTGGAGGCAGCTAACTAGGATCTGCCAGTTGTATAGAATTGGTTTGGAGAGCATATTTAGCTTTCTCCAGTTGTCTTAAGTTGGAAGTGGGGACAAAAATGAAAGCAGTAGTCAATTATTAATCAAGCTGTGGCCATTTGGGGCCCATTGTTCCAGGCGTTGTCACCTGGCTTTCTGGACTGGGAGCTGCAGATAGTGGGCTGGTTGCTATTTTTATGTATGGTCTGGTCATTGTCCTTTTGTATATTTAGTCTGTCAGTGGACAGAATACTTTGCTGAACCCTGATGTACTCACCACACAGTCAATGAAGTCCTAAGATGAGGGGATTGGGGTAGGAACTTGGAAGGAAGAATGCTTAAGGAGGGGAACCAGTCCCAGGGGTCCCAACATACACACACACACACACACACACACACACACACATACACGCATGGACACACAGCCCTGCTGCCTCTGGACCTATGGCCCCAACCATAATGGGGAACCGCAGCCCCAAATCCCCACCCCAGTTCCTTCCTTCTTAGCCCCAAATCCCCACCCCAGTTCCTTCCTTCTTTCTATATTCGGCTGCCTTGTGTTTCCCCACCTGGCTCCTTTATAGGTCCTGTTTCCCCTCTAAGGCCCCAAAGCTTTGGCAGCTCTGGAAGACGAGGGCATGGCCAGATGGGCAGCCCTGGTGGTGCTGGTTGCGGTGGGTACAGCAGTGGCAGTGGCCACCAACCCCGGCTTCGTGGCCAGGATCACGCAGAAGGGCCTTGACTACGGTAATCAGACGCCTTCCTTCCCTCCCCTTGCACCCCTGAGAGGTGTTTATTAAACACCTACTATGTGCCAGCTCTTTCAATCCAGTGTATGGTAGGCCCTATTTGCCTCATTTTGCATATGAAAAAACTGAACATCAGAAGGCGACACTGCTGAGAAGTAGCAGAGGTTGGACTGGAGCACTGGAAGACTCCAAGTCTAGTTAGTGTTCAGGTCCTTGAGGGTCCTCACGGTCTCCTCCTTCTCCCCTCCCTCCCTCTAATCAATTGTCAAACTTGGGATCCTAGATCCCTATCTTCCTTTCAAAGCCCGTTATCAGCCCTATCATCCACATCTAGATCCCTGCCTCACCCTCAGCCTGGGAGGAGTTCCAGAACTGCAAGGAGGCTAGGCAGGTGGGAGAAGCCACTGGAGGACCTTTCTTAGTAGTTTCCCTCAGTTCAGAGGCCAAACAGCCATGCTGTGCCCATTGCTTAGTGGGTGACCCCAAGCCACTGATCCAGGCCCACACAGAGTTGAGAGTGGCATGAAACAGCTCTTGTTGCTCTGTGCTGACATGAGTTGGGTGCTAAGCTAGGAACTTTGCATGCACACACACACACACTCCCATTTAGTCCTCACTCCAGCCCTGTACTTGTCAGGGAGCTGAGCTCAGCTGCCAAGTGTCCCACTAGTCCATTAAGACAAGAGCCAGCATGAAAGTAATGGTCAAGCCTTTCATCACTTGCTGCAATAGTAAAAGCAAGAGATGAAACCAGATAAGGCACTGGCTCCCCACGTTCTGTATTTTCCCAGGAACAACACTGCAGGAGATACGGCAAGGGGCAGGTGGATCAGAGCACACGTGGGTACCTGCCTTACTGCAAAGGGATTCCCAAACAAAATGTTCCTGCAGTTTTATGGACCTGAGGGCAAGGGGGAGGGAGAAGAATGACTGGGAGTGGAAAAGTATCTTCAAGGGTCAAGGCCTCCCCTCCCCCTGATAATGAGGCTTCAGCAGTGGTCCCTGAGGAAGGTCTCCATTGAAGGCTTCCATAAAGAAGAGGAGCACTCACCTAGTAGGAACAAACATTAGTGAAAGTCACATGAATAATTATATAATTACTAATCTAACTGTATCATTACAAATACAGCAAGGATCCTAGAGGAGAGGTCCATAGTGTCATTACCAGGCAGTTTACTCTAGTCTGCTGGGTCAGGAAGTGTGGTAGTTATATTTGTGTGTCAGATTGGCTGGGGCTGGTTGAGAGGCTGGGCAGCTGGTGGTAGTTATTTCCCCACGATGAGACTGGCAATCAGTTCCATGGTGGGATCTACCACAAGCAGCTGAGCCTTTGGGATGTGGTCTGCTTCCTTTATACAAGGAGAAGCCTTTGGGAATGGTCTCTAGCTTATGGCATGCTAGCCTGCCATGCTCTGCCAACTTTGGGACTTTCAATGGACTTAAATTGATGGCCTGCTGTGTGGTTTGGTAATATCGGGACTGTGCCTTTTTGTCGACCTTGGGCTTGTTAGCCTCAGCAGCCAGTAGCTGTCTGAGTGAAGAGATGCCTCTAGTTTCAGTGGGCTGGGAGCAAGAGGCAGAGTAAAGCCCAAGGTCGAGGGGCTTTCACACAACCCCTAGAGCCTGGAACTTTGAACTTGGACTTAAAGCCTCCAAATTTTAAGAGTAAACTACTGTTTGTTAAGGCCATCCCATTTATGGTATATTCCTGTCAGAGCGGCACTAGCGAACCAGAACAGGAAGTTTCCCTGAGAAAGTGATGATTGAGGTGACTAGGAGTTGACCAGGTGAAGGCAAAGACGGAAGGGAAGATTTCCTAGGCAGCAGGAATAGCATGTGCAAAGGACCTGTGGAGAGAGGACCAAAAGCCAAGGGGGTTGGGGATCTCTGAGGGCATAGCACAGCACCAGGCATGGAATCGGTCTTCAATAAATACTTGTAGGATGCTGACTAGATTTTTTTTTTTTCATTTTTATTGTGATTTGGGTAAAAGTTTCCAGAGCAAATTCATTTCCCATACATCAGTTCATACACATTTTGTCTTATGACATTGACTGCAATTTCCCACAATGTAACAGCTGTCTCCCCACTTCCTCCCCATAGTTACTTCTTTCCTGTGTCCTCCCCTCCCACACACTCCCACCTCCACCCCAAGCTATCTCCCTGTGCAAACACTGCTCTTCTGTTCTCCCCTGATTGATCTATCCAAGGAGTGTATCTACCGGATGTAAATGTTCACCCCATATGCCTATTGTTTGGCTAGAAGCCACAGGAGTGAATTCAATTCCAGCCCTGAAAGTAGCTAGGGGCCATAGTGTCAGGGGTCTCACCAGGCTCTATTAGACCAGCAAACCTGCTCTTTTGGTTTTTTCATGATTTTCAATTTTTTTTTTTTTTTTATGATTTTGAGTTTTGTTCCACACTGTTCTCCCATTCTATCTAAGATCTTTTGCATCCATCTCCCTCCAAGTGGTTGACGATGGTAGCCGGGCACCATCTAGTTCTTCTGCTGTCATGCTGACTAGATTTTTGGGGTGTGATATTTCAGACCAAAGGTTAGCAAACTACAGTCCACAAGCCAGCTCTTACCACATGTTTTTGTATGACCTGTGAGCTAGGAAGTTTTTTTTTTTCCCATTTTTAAATGGTTGAAAAAAATCAAAAGAAAAATAGTATTTCACAGCACATGAAAATGACATGAAATTCAAGTTTCAGTGCCCATAAATATAAATAAAGTTTCATTGGAACACAGCCATGCTCATTTCTTTATGTATCGTCTATGGCTGCTTTTGTGCAGTAATAGAGTTGAGTAGTTGCATCAGAGTCACTATGATCTATGAAGCTGAAAATATTCACCATCTGGCCCTTTACAGAAAACCTAAAAGGACTCCATTTAAGACCTCTCCAATCCCATCTCTACGTCAGGACTCTGGGTACCTCTGCCATGGACAGAAGGGACAAGGGCCTAGAGCCTGCTCTGACCACCTTTCCAGGCTCACTGCTATGCTCTGACTGTCATCCCTCTGCTTTATCCTCAGTCTGCCAGGAGGGAGTGGCCAAGCTGCGGAAAGAGTTGGAGAAAATCAACATCCCTGATATCTCAGGAAAAGTTAAGATGAAGCCTTTTGGAAAAGGACATTACAGCATCTACAGGTGAGGCCTGTCATTGTTCAATCTTTAATATGCAGGACTTGAGGGGTCACTGAGGAGTCCGTGGGTGTTGACAATGGTTAATATGGTCAATTGCTATCCAAAAGGTTGGTGGTTCCCAGGCCTATGAGTCTTTGCAGAAATTGGTTGCTGTATCTTTCTTCAACCAAGTGGCTGATGGGTACAGGTTCTGACCAGCCACCATGGGAAATCATAAAAATTTCCCACAAAAACTAGAATACAAAATTTAAAGTAAAAAAAGGGGGGGGAGGGCAAGTTCAACAACAACAAAGAGTAAAACAAACACACAAAATTACAAGAGAAGAAGTACCAATCAAAAGCAAAATATGAAGAAGAAGAAATTACTACTATGAAGGCCAGGTTAATGCAGAAAATTAATAATTTTCAGACTATGTTGTTTTTGTTGTTATATGCCATCAAGTTGGCTCTAATTCATAGTGACCGTATGTACAACAGGACAAAACACTGCCCTGTTCTACACCATCCTCACAATCCTTGCTAAGCTGGAACCCATTGTTGCAGCCACTGTGTCAATCCATCTTGTTGAAGGTCTTCTCCTTTTTTGTTGACCCTCTACTTTATCAAGCATGATATCCTTCTTCAGGACTGCTCACTTCTGACAACATGATGAAAGTAGGTGAGACAAAGTCCAGTCATTCTTGCTTTTAAGGAGCATTTGGCTGCATTTCTTCCAGGACAGATTTGTTTGTTCTTCTGGCAGTGCATGGTATTTTCAGTATTCTTCACCAACACCACAATCCAAAGGCATCAACTCTTCTTTGGTCTTCTTTATTCAGATATGGTGCTAAATAAATTTTAAGAAAGCAAAAAACACAGAAAAAAAAAAAAAAACAGTGGAGATCAGGGACAAGGGGAAGAACAAAATGACTGTGAGGAAATTGGAAACATCAAAAAACAATGAGAACTACTGGAACTGAAGACTAAACTAACTGAACTAGAAAAAGAGAAAGATTTAATAACAGAGTCAAATAGAAGACAGAATAGTGAACTAGAAGACAAAATAACTGAACCTATCAAGTCTTAAGAGGAAAGAACAAAGAACAGGAAACAAATCCAAAAGGAAATATGGGATTCAATGAAGATATCTGACATTAGAATTATTGGATTCCCAGAGCACCATGACAACAAAAAAGGCATATATCATGGTTAGGGTTGTGTGTCAACTTGGCTGGGCCATGATTCCTAGTGGTTGGCAGTTATGATGTAGTCATCCCCTATGATGAAGTCTGCCATGAGCAGCCAATCAGTTGAAAGGGAGTTTCCTGAAGGATGTGACCTGTGTGCAATATATATGGGTGTTTTGGCAAAGCTTTCTGGGTTTTGCTCAATCTGGGTCCCACTTCTGGCTTGTTATCATCTGACCTCTGGTTCTTTGGATTTGAGCCAGAGGCTTGCCATGTTGCCTGACAATCTTGGGATTCACTAGCCTCTACGGCTTGTTTGCTAGCAGCTTGCCATCTTACCTGCTGATCTTGGGTTTGTCAGCTCCTGCAGCTACAAGAGATCTCTGGTCAGGAGAAGGCCTCCAGCCTGACATCTGACCCACAGACTTGGGACTTGATAGCCTCTACAACCACATGAGTCGTTTCCTTGAGGTAAATCTCTCTCTCTCTCTCTACCTTCATATATGCATATATATATATGTATTTCACTGGTTTTGTTTCTCTAGAGAACCTAGCCTAAGAGAGCACAGAAACAATTTTCCAAAAAGATAATCTGAGAAAATTTCCTAGACTGGAACAGAGAACCAAGGCTGCAAATATAGGAAGTTATGCAAATCCCAATCAGAAGAGGCACAAAAAAGATCAACTCCACACCACACCCTAATAAAAGTCTTGAAAATCAAAGACGAGAGAATTCTGAAAGCAGCAAGAGAAATATGCAATATAACATACCAAGAGTTTTTCATAAGAATTAGTGTGGATTTCTCCCCAGAATGCTTGAGACCAGAAGACAATAGAGTGACATATAGAAGAGTGAATGAAAACAATTTCCACTCAAGAATTCTTTACCCAGCAAAGCTGTCATTCAAAAACAAGGAGGAAATAAAGACATTCCCAAACAAACGGGAGCTCTGGGAATTTGCCACTACTAGACCAGATTTGCAAGCATTAGTCAAGTCAGTACTCCAAATAGGAAGACAAGAGAATTAACTAAATATCCGTATCTGTATATGGAATAAATAAATAAGAGAGAGCTACAAAAAAAAAAAAAAAAATGCAACAACATGCACAATCATAAGGACCAAGTATAACATATTTTCAGGGAATAAAGTCAATAATGAAATCCTACAAAAAATACACCACCACTTTGTAAGAAATAAGCACAAAGTAAACTTATCAAATATAGGTGGTATATTGATGTTAAGGCATATCAACAGAAATGGGGGAGTGAGGAGCATATCAGGAATAGATTTATTATGTTAAAGGTATATGTTAACTGTTGTTCATATATTAAATGTCATTGCAGTTGTTAATTGCATAAAGTAATATATGTGGTAATCACTAAGAAACCACCAAGAGAAAACATTCAGAAGGAAAAAAACAAAAGGCTCATACTAAGAAAGCAGCCAAATACAAACAAAAACAGAAAAAAAAAAAACGGAATAAAAAAAGCAAAGAAGATATGAAATACTCAAAAAACAAATAGTAAAATGAGTGAGGTAGACACTTCATTTTCAGTAATAACCTTAAATGTAAATGGTCTAAACACCACAATGCAAAAGGTAAAGAGAGGCAGAATGGATAATAATAATAATAAAAAAGATCCGTCACTTTGCTGTCCACGAAAAAACACATCTTAGACAGAAGGAGTCAAGCATACTGAAAATAAAGGATGGAAAGAAATGTTACATGCAACCAATAAACAATAAAAGAGCAGAGGTGACAATATTGTTATTAGATAAAATAGACTTTACATCAAAATCTATTACAAGAGATGAAGAAGGACATTACATAATAATAAAAGGGTCAATCCAGCAAGAAGACACACAGTTATAAATATATATGTACCTAACACATTACATGAAACAAATACTGACTAACATGGAAGGAGAAATAGACAACTCCACAATAATAGCAAGGGACTTCAACATACCACTCTCAATCATAGACAGAACATCTGTTAAAAAAAAGAAAAAGGACCTTGCTATATCAACAAAGACATCTCCAAAAAAGACATAAGGAAAACAATTCCATTTACAATAGCTACCAAAATGATAAAATACTTAGAAATAAATTTTACCAGAAACACAAAAGACCTATACAAAGAAAATGTTAAAACAACAAGAAACTAAACGGGACCTACATAAATGGAAGAAAATACCATGGTCGTGGATAGTTGTTGTTGTTGTTATGTGCCTACTCATAGCGACCCCTCCTTGGGTTTCTGAGGCAGTATCACTACGGAAGTAGATTGCCCCATCTTCCTTCTGAGGAGTGGCTGGTGGGTT